CTCGCAGCTTAAATCTGCTGCCATATCTGATGTGGCTGCCTCTTAATGTTCTGAAAAGTCGAGTTATCTATCAGATTGTCTGTCCTTGATGCTCATGCAGTTATGTCAGCAAAACCAATCGGCATCTTTTAACTCGTCTTGCGGACCGCGCAGCACCAGATGCACACGTAGGGGCGCACTTTCATGAATGCGTTGGAAGCAGGAAAAAATTGGAAGCCACTGTCATCGATTCTTCCAATAATGACCGGAAACTGCTCACTCTGGAAGCGCGACACATCGCTAGGAAGCACCCGAAACTGAAACAGCTGAAGGAATATCAGACCAGCGAGCTGGTCTTACGCGTGTGACATATTGTTTTCTTTCTTCCAGTCTTTTACTGGCGAGTTACATCTCTTTACATTTGTTTTTCTTGTAAGCCCATTTAGTCATAATTTTGTTGCACTCCTCATGTGTTTCGTTTTTCAATTTTGTTGTTTGCCGGATGATGCCAATGAATTGCGAAAACGCTTGGAAGTAAAACATCGTATTTTATATAAACCAAATTAACGTGGCATTTCGAAAGTCATCTTTTAAAGAATCAAACAGAAATCAGTAGAAAAGTCCTTTGTGAGAAAATTTTAAATAACTGCTGCACTGTTTCCTTTTTAAACTAAAAATAAAGGTTTCTTTGAAACAAAATAAAAAACACACACCGAGAATTGGAGAAAATAGTTTTTAAAGTAATTTCGTTTTAATTAAGAAAGCTCTTGGAAATAAAAACATATCAAAGTTCTTTCAAAAAAAATTAGTAAAGACTTTTGGTAAACATCATATGAAATTGCGAAAAGCTTTAACATGTCGAGAAAGGGTGTTTCAAAACTCATGTTAGGGGTGTCTTTTTTATGGGACAAAAAATCACTTATGTAAAGAAAAATAATTTTGCGGAAAATTGGATGTTAGAATTAGAAAACAAAAAATAGCATTTGAAATATTAACTACAAACGCTTTAAGCAGAAGGCTACCATTGACAACTTCTAAAAGCACACATAATTTCGTGGTCCTGCGCTCTCAAGTAAAGATTGTGAAACTGGTTAAAACAATTATTTTCCGGCCAAAATTCCTCTATCGATATAAACTTGACCCAAAAACTCACTAGTAGCCGGGTCCCCAAAGTCCTTCTTAGCCAGTTTTTTCAACTTTCCTGAACTTGTGCACTTTATGGTTACTGCTTATACTAAGTGTGCCATGTCCTTTTAGCCTCCAAAACACCCAAATGAGCAGTATGGAGGCTTTTCAGACAGCGGACAACCAAATGACCGCATGCATCACTAACCACAGGTTCAAAAGGGGCTTCTGACTCCAAAAACAAAAACTTCAGCCCAAAATCAAAAGTAACATAAATATAAGTATAGCACGAAATGGAGTATAGTATCCAAAAAGTATTACCAAGCATTGAACGACATACTCAAAAAAGCCCGTATTTAAATTTCAAAAAATGATAAATAAAAAAAAGAAATATTAAAAAAAAATAACTCTACAAAAATTGAAGGGATTCAATCCGAAAAAACATAGTTCAGTCAAGTAAGACATAAACTGCACCTGGATCCCACAGTGCAGATCTTGAATTCTATATAGTTTGAGATGAATTATCTCAACAGAGCGTCCAGCTGTCGGTTTCGTAATATCTATTGACGGAGGATATTGCAAAAGATGAAATGTCTTATGCAAGAGTCTTGATGAGAGAGTTCAATTTTAGGAAATCGCAATAAAGGACAAAAATCACGCTTTTTACCTGGTCGCTGCATACTTTGGTCAAATTTAAAATACCCAGCGTTTGCAAACCTGAAGGAATTAGTAAAATTTCAAGTTTGATAAGGTGCTCCATGTATTTGGCGATATAAAGCGCAATCCATTTAGTGATTCTGCTCTACAAACGTTCGATGCAAGTTATGTTGCCTCTCAAAGCGAATTAGCACGGCGATGCGTAAGAAAGAATTGTCAAGATGGAGCTTTCGCTTAAGTTGTTTAGCAGTATATTCAAGCAATCAGGATACGTTTCTCTTGATCTACTAAGAAGTTTGGTATGCTTCAGTAATTTGGAAAACCATATGCTCCATCCAGGACAAGGAGGCACAGAAAATGCGTCCAACATCGCGATGAGACAAGATTACTTCGATGGGTTCACCTAAGAGCTCAAATTGTGAAGGCACTTCGTTCGAAATTGACAACCTTGCTTTTGGGGGATTGGCAAACAATTTTGTAGTTCAAATCTCATGGTTTTAAGATAGTAAGCATTCGTCACAGCGGCAATCTGACGCAACTAGTTTGCTGTCACAAAGCAAACAGAAAGACCAAGGCGCGGACCTTTTTCAAAAATCCTGGCAGGTCGTTTATACAACAAAGGAAAAGTAGAAGACATGATTTGAATTCCTGTGCAACTCCGCTAATACGTCGTGCAACCCTCGACAAGAACAAGTTGCTTCCTGTTATTCACGTAGTCACTAATTGATGGACCATCGAGTTGAAAAATTGAGTTGTAAGCTGCTTGAAAAAAGTATTGAACATAATCGAAAATTCACTGGGGAATTTAGGGGAGACATGACCGTTTCTTAGTACTGCTGGTAGACGCAGAGAACTCTAACTAAGTCTGTTAAGATGTTTGAACGCATCCTGAGTGTCTCTGCCTCCAAAAACTTAAACCACATACTCTGCTAAACCATCGTCGGAACGCACTGCCGTCGGATCGCGAATTTCTTTATACAATTGAAAGTTTCAGGCCAAAATCATGGGGCTATCAGGAATATATGTACAATGCAAGTTCAATTCACGCGCGTCACAATTGCACCATCAGATTCGAATTTGTCCAGCAATACGGCTTGAAAGACGAAACTTAGATTGCATTTGAATGTCCCTCGAAGTCTGCCTTATTGAAATTTCGACACTTCCCAATATGTATTTTGGAAGTACTGCGGAGGTGTTTATCTTAACAGACAGCGCATTGTGGTAGGACAAATTTCTTGCATTCAGCTGTGTGGACAGAGCAGGGAGAGCAGATATTATGTTATCAGCCTCGTTCATGAGAACGACGTCCAAGATATGACTTTGCATCGTATCGAATGTGGTTAGCTGCGATGAGTTCTTTTCATGGAAGATATCGACTTAGGCTTGTTCATTGGATATTGAACTGGACACATCCTCCCAGGATGCGACGGCTAAGTTTAGATCTCCAATCAAGAGAATGGGCTAACATTTCGTCTAAGTCTCAAACTACTCAACAATTTTAAAAAGGAGGGCGGAAGGCTATGAATATTTCGACTCATTGGGTTGATTGTACGCAGATAACCAAGAGAGGCCAGTTAGTTAGGATTGTGACAGCCAGAAGCAGCAGTCTTCTGGAAGATTAAAGGCTACGGGTTTAAGCCGATATAATTTTTATGGCAACTAAGAGACCACCGTGTTGTTTGGGACGTTTTTCTTTACTGAGCATCGAAAGTTGAGACAAAAAAGCTCTGCATCAATAAAGCCGGCCAGTAACAAGTTTTCACAGATGAACAAAATGATGTCGAAATCAAACTAGTTTCCTTAGTTGACAAAATATTTGCGTCTCATCGCATTTATAAGACTACGAGCATTGAACCAGAAAACAGTTAGTTCTGTCGAGTCTAGCCAGTTTGTGCTCCTGTTTTGGTTATCACATGGAAGATCGGTAACTTCATTGCTATCCAGGAAAAAAATCAAGTTTCGAATAAGCTACGATAATTCACATAAAATTAGCTTCTAAACCATCAGGTTAAAAGTTGAAAAAAAAAACTAATCAATCACAGCTGACCTCTAAAATTGGCCAATTAAATTACAACTTTTTTAACCTCTGAACCAAATTATTTTTAGTTTTTGTGTACTGAAGTTTATGAGTGAAAATTTCGAATTAGACATGTACGTTTTCGAAAAGAAATCAAACATCTTTCGATACTTCATTTTAGTGTAAAAACCCTGTTTCTAAATTCATCGAGCGTGTAGTCACATCTTTTCAGGCATATATTGCTTCCGGTGATAACAATTTAATTTGATTGTTCAGCCTATCTATAATTTCTCAACTAATATCTGCGCTAAGTCTGCATTGTTGAAGGCCTACCGGTTGAGGCCTACGGGCGAGCCAGCTTTCGTATGTTCCTCAATTCTAGTGATTAAGTGCCGAACAGTGTTCCCGACACAGGTGGAGATAGATCTACTACAAATCATTTATAAAACACTGATTCAGAATCTTGTTGGGATTTGACAGCATTAACTTTCTCTGCTTGCACGAGCTGAGATAGGTTTTCACTGAGCACACACCCCAGGGTGTTCTTTTCCGCTTTACTCACGAATGAAATTAGATTCTGTGGTCATGACTCTTTCAGCTGTTGAACCGTGGGGTAGTAGTTTGAGTTGTAAGAGGGAAGACAATGTCGTGTAGGCGACACGGAATGTTTTTCAACGAATGAAAATAAGCAAATCAAGTCTCTTTTAACGACTAAAAAAACGAGGACGCCAGAAAACTTGACAGGCATTCTGAAGGAGAAGGCAGAAATATCAAATAAAGTTTGGAAATTGTTTAAAATCGTATCTTTGCTCATATGGTTGCAAGATAAGCGATCATACACTCGGATCTCTAAGAACATTTCGTAATCATGAGCTACCTAGTTATGATCTGGTTCGTCGATACATTTGAGATGGAACAATTTGATAAGTTGCAAAGCATATATTAGTTCAAGCATGCATGCTTAAAAAACAATGCTATTAGGCACAAAACCGATGCTTCATGAAAATCCGCATACTAGCAGTAGTATTTCAACCTATTTCCAGAGCTATGTAAAAACAGAATGTAGCAGAAACATGAAGAGATGGCATAAAATTCCTAAATATGTTAACATCGGGACTTCTTAAACATGGCTGGAAATGTCTCGCTCAAGTAAAAAATATATAGATTAAAAAGTAAAGTACGCAGTTACAATTTTCCCGTACTCCTCACTCCTCTTGATGTGTAAAAAAAAATATTTTAAATTGATTCTAGATAACTGAAGTTAAGAAGCAGGAAATAATTACCAAATTCGTAAAACAAGCCAAAAATCTTGGAACACTATTTCACATTATTTACATTCAGTTCTAAATAGAACAATCTCAGTTCATTTTGTGGATTCTGATTTGATGTCCACGAAAGTAGCTGGAAGTACGCATTTAGGCCTTGCGCTTCTCCATCCGTTGACAATGTGACGAGATAGACCGACTGAATCACCAGGGCTGTATTCATTTTCTGAACTATTAGGATAGCTGTGATACAGTGCAGTTTTTTCAGTCACTGGATTAAAGCCAGGCAACAAACTCTTCGGGACAGTCACGCGTATTAATGTCTTGAAGTCTTTCTCTCTCATTTTCTTACAAACCGGACAAATACTCTCACCTGAATCATTGACGTTCACAGGTACAGCAAAGCCTCGAGCATTCATTCTGAACAGATGGACACACTGGTGTTCTGTGACCGGAAGAGGAGGTTTCGATTCATAACTCGGAAGGTGAGGCATTGCGGACAGAAACTCTTGGCCAAATTGTTGCTCGGCATTGCTGTCATTGCCTGCGAAGCATTCCGGTGAATAAGAATTACGAAAGGATTGAAGATCAGAGAAATATGCATCTGATTTATTGTCACACGCAGTATCACTCAAATCCAAAATTTCGCAAATCCAGTCGTATCCCAGCAAATTAGATTTACCACTCGGATACACCGGTTTGGCCGACTTGATAGTCACACAGTCCTGGTGAGGCCTAATGGTCTTTAAGGGATCATTGAGCTGAAGTTTAACAGGGACTCTTATATTTCCTGAATTTTGTAACTTGCGTAGAAAAGTATCATCAAGAGCTTCATTATCGCTGAAGTTTGACTTCGCTAAATCTTTTGGTGTGCTACTTCTAAGGGAGTTTTGGTTTGCCGATTGTGGTATTCCTTTCTTCCGCAGTAATTCTTGTTTAACTGCTGCAGTAGGTTTCTGTGTTTTTAACTGTTCAACTGATATGCTCTTCAAGATATTTTGATTGTCTTTCAGCTGACCAATCAAAGATTGATTTCTGATTCTCAATTCTACATTCATTTGTGATACTTAACCATCCGCATTTCACTATCGCTGAAACAAAACATGAATATCTAATGCCTCGCACAAATTATGGAGTATATCAATGACACAATATACAAGAAAGAAAGAGTAGCGACCTGTGCCTTTGGAAACAATTAAATTAAATCAGAATCCTTTCCGTCCTAAGAAAGTAGAAGAAAAACAAAGAACACTTCAATTACTGTTAAAAGGTTAAGAATCGAGTATTTTTTCTTTCGTTGGAATTCATAATTTATGGAAAACTAAAAGTTTAACGAGCATCATCTGGTATATAAAAGTCAAAGTCTTTTTTTTTGTTTGTTTTTTAACGGTAATCAGAAGGTCAAAAGTATCATAGTAACCGAGGTTACAGTCAGGAGTCCCTTCATCATGTATTCCAGTCAAAATCCTTGGAATTTTCTAGATATGGAAGTGATAATAATAAAAGAAGATGACAAGTGTTTAAGTCCTTTTCAATTAAAATCGATACGGGTTACGTTTCTTCAATAAGAACACGCAACTCGACACGAAAAAAATTCAAAGGAATAAGAAATTTAAAATGTTAATTCAAACGTTTTCAGTGGTAAAAACGGCAGATCAATGTAAAATAAATTCCAGAAACGTTTTCGACATAAAAGTCATCATCAGCCAATCTAAAAAACAAAGCACCTGTAAAACCGGAATGGAAATGGATGTGTAGAAATTACGGTAAGGTAAATTGGTAAATTGTACGTCTTACAAAGACAAATATGAAAAGTATAATTAAAGTGCTCATGGAATGTGTTAAGAGTGAGTCAAGTCAAGAGTCTTGGCACGTAGAAGCACGATGTCACAGTTGCTTGGGCGGCAACCTGATATTGATGAGTCTTCCAGGTAGATCCTGGCTTTCTGGAAAGGAGATGCAGTGTCGTATGTGATCCTCATCAACGATCTGGAGCTTACAAAGTCGGCAGACACAGTCCATATACGCTGTAAACCCTTTTTCCTGTACAATATCATGTATTTCGCGTTTATAACAGCCAATTTTAGTGCATATAATATTATGACATCCCGAGGTGTAGTATAGCGCAAAGATACGTCTATGTCGCGTGTTTGCCTGCCTCAGGCCAAGGTAATCGTTGAAGTATAGGTTCTCAAGAAGGAGTCTCGTGGAGCTGAAAACAGAGATTCCAGCCCATTTCTTCCAGAAAATTCCACAAATTCTGTTATAATGGTCGTCCAACTTATCTGTGTCGATCTGTAGGAATGTATTCAGGCCATATGTTCCTGCTGGGAGAACAACTTTCTCCAGAAGTCTCTGGGCCGAGTTAAAGCACACTTTCTGAAGGTTTAATTTATGTTGGAGTCCAAACACGGTTGATTTAGTTTTGTTTATCAACACATTGAGGTGTTCTGTGCAGGCTAGTTTTGATGTTAGGTTGACTCCCAGGTAGCAGAAGGTATTCGTGTACTCTATAGCAATTCCTCTATAGAACAGGGCGTCCTCTGGCATGATTTTGCCTCCTTTCCTGAACTTCAAGGCTTTCGTCTTGTCAATATTGACAGTGAGCTTGTTGGTATGGCAGTAATTGGCAAGTCTATCCAGGGCTTCCTTAACGTTTTTCAGATTGCGGTGAGAAAAAACAAAATCGTCGGCGTAAAACACCACATGGCAACCAGTTTCTTGCAAAATTTTGGATAAGTCAGCAATGAAAACAGAGAAAAGTAATGGAGATAGCTTGTCCCCTTGAGCTACACCGACGTTTTGAACAATTTTTCCGGACACAAAACTTCCGTCAACTACCTGTAACAAATTATTCTGGCATATTGCGTGTAAGATGCCTAAATTACGTCCCCGGAGACCCTGTTTTTGTAACTTTGCGATGAGAAGGTTGCGGTCCACCGAGTCGAATGCTTTCTGATAGTCAACAAAACAAGCATAGCACTTTCCGTGATTGACTAAATCGTCTTGTATACTGTTTTTGAGGTCGTTAACAGCTGAAACTGTCGATCTACCTTTTCTAAACCCAAACTGCGTTTCTGGTAATATAGAATTTTCTTCAATCCAGCCAATTAATCGTGTGTAAAGAATCCCAGTAAAAATCTTATATAGAGCAGGTAATAGACTGATACCACGATAGTTGTTTGGATCCCTTTTTTCTCCTTTTTGCTTGTAAAGAGGTTTCACCAACGCTGTCTTCCAACACTCGGGTAGGACTGAAAACTTGAAACACGTCTGGAAAAGTGCAAGTAAGAGATAAAACGTAACCCCAAAAGATGTTTTTAAGGCTTCTGCCGTTATACCGTCGGTGCCTGCCGCCTTGCCATTTGGTGCCTTACTAGTATGATATGTTACTTCAGAGAGTTCTATGTCTTTGTTTAGGTTGATGTCGCATTCCCAGTTTGTGAAGGCATAGTCGTGATTCCCAAGATTGGAGAAACTATTTACCGGCACTAGCGATGTGTCTCTGTAATAAACATCTGTAAAGTGGTTTTCCCATACCGGCATCATAATTGCACTTGTCTCAGCTACTTTTGGCTTGGATTTTAAAATATTCCAGAATTGTTGTCTGTCAGTTTCTGCTACTGCGATAATGTTATCTTCTCTGTTCTTTAAGTACCTAGACTTCTTTTGTTGACACAGCTTCTTGTAGATTTTCTTGTGATTTTGGTACGCGACAGCTTCATTTCGCCTGTTTTGATACAAAACCTTCAATTTTTTGTGCACTCCATACAGTTTTTTGTCAAACCAGTGTGCCGATATGCGTTTCCGTGGGTACACTGCGGCTGTTTTGAAGGCGGTAACGAAAAGTTCCGTATGTGTATTAATGTTTTCACCACTCCAACGGTTGATATCAGTGGGAATACTCTGAAGGGCAGCTTCTAGCGCGCTGATATCAATTTTGCAGATCCGATTGGGTTTATTATCCGCTTCTTCGTACCTGAAAGGAACGTTTAGTTGTACTAATAGGTGTTTTGTGATAAACTTCGGCACGACTGTTGTTGAGAGAGGCAACATTATGTTAGTGAAAAGTAAATCAATTGTACTGTTGCCATTTGGGGCGATGTACGTGGAGTTGCCTAGGTCATTTGCACAGTATAAACCCCAGAGTTCCAGATGCTTCAAAAGTGATAAACCTCTGCTCCCAGTGTCAACCCGACAGTTGAAATCGCCTCCCATGATAATAAGATTCTGGTTTGAGCAAAGTTCTAAGCAATTATCCAAGTCTGTGGTGATGAGATCTAAGTTAGTATTGGGGCAAAAATAAGAAGCAATTAGATGCACATTCAAGTTCCCAAAGATAACGCCAAGTGTATTTGCTGACTGGAAGAAAATTTTAGCCCTGCATCTCATTCTCTTGTTGACGGAAATAGCAATACCTCCACTTGGGCGTCCTCTGGCTAGTTTTTTAGCAAGAATGTTGTAAGTAACGAAATTGTTGATATCAAGGTTCTTAATAGAAAAAGTCTCAGTGAGAAATAGTACGTCATAGTCAAGTTCTTCTGAGTTTGTAAAGTCTAGAGTGTTTTTTGCGCCTTCGACAATCCATAAAGCAACTTTCAGTCAAGCCCGCTCTTTCTCGACTACTTTGCCCGCTCTAATAATGTACTCATTTTCAGGGTTTTCTTCTCTGATTTTTCGTAGGTCACATCTGAGTGTGTACTGTCGTGCTCTTTCGTCTTTCGTGAGGTCAGGCTGCAGGAAGATATTCTTGTATTTTTCCTTGTCTCTGAGCAGTCTTGCTTTTTTGAGAAGATTGTTGCGCTCGTCTGCTGATCCGAGGGTTACCAGAAGCATTTGTAATCCATCTTCATTCACTTTACCGATCCTTTTGGTGGTTAAGCCATCAGTAGCAACTGTTTAAGTTTCATGTAGAATATTTTGCACTAGTTTTTTGCCATTCTCTGCGGCCTTAGAGCCAGAAATTATGACATTACAGGCCCTCCTTTCTTGTTCTCTCTCTTCTGACTTCAGGTTTTTGAGAATTTCCGAGTAACTTGTTGGCTTAGCTGGAGCAGAGATGCTTTTTGTGTTTTCAGGGCTGATCATCTTCTTCAATTCCTCCACTTCTGACTCAAGTGCTTTGACCCTCTTCTCAGTTTTAGATGAACAGAAGCCGCATAGAAAATCATCCTGAAGGTATTTCAAGGGCATAAATTTAGGTATCCAGAGTGGTGTCCATATTTTGCAATTTGTGTTGGAGCATTGAGCAAAATGAGACGAACCTTCATTTTCTTCGTCTGATACCTCCTTCTGTTTTGACATCTTCTGTCTTGTCGACATTTCAATGCTTTCTTAAACTATTTAATAAGTTTAATCTAAAAAACTATTTAATCTAAAAAACAAAGCACCTGTAAAACCGGAATGGAAATGGATGTGTAGAAATTACAAAAAATGTATAAAAACTAACATTAAAAAGAATATAAAAATAGCGTCAGTTAAGACCCGAGTTAGTCATGTGTTTAAAACAAACGGACTTAAAAAACCTCACAACTTGACTGTGAGGTACCGCTGCCGGTATTCCTCGCGCGTGTTGAGGGCAGGTCTTCTCCTCGAAATATAAAGCGCTTCTAAGGTCAAAAGTTTATTCGTGTCTAAGCATCTGTCTAAAATTCTCGCCTCAACTGCAGCCTTGTCTGCTCCGCATTCCTTTAGATGACTACATAACGGTGCAGAGTCCCTAAGGTGTTCAATTTTTCGGGTGATCAGGTGTCGGACGGTCTGTCCAACATAGCAGGATTTGCATCCTGGACAACATATCTCATAAACCACCCTACTCGTCAAATACCTAGGGAAATCTGTTTTCAAAGTGGGAAGACAGGTTCTGAGTTTGCGGATCGTGAATATTGTAGAAATACCACAAATTTGCAGCCTTTTCGCGAAAATATCAGACACTTTTCCTCGATACTGGAGCCGGATAACTGGTTCCTCGATACTTTCAGGCTTTTTTGAATTGGTCGTTGCTTGTGTGGTCGTGTCCTGGTTTTCCTTGATTTTAAGAAGAGAATCTGTCACTATGGTTTCATAAAAAGCCGGAGAAAACTGATTTGCTTCCCAATCATTTTTTGCTTTCCTCAAACCTTTATCAAAGGCCTCCCAAGTGGAAGTGGAGTGATCAATTCTGTGCAAAGTGCCCTGAACAATGTTCCTCTTGTATTTTGTTGGCGCACAGGCGTGAAACCCAAGGGTGAGTCTAGTGTCTGTAGCTTTGCTGTACCATTCTGTGCTGATAGTACGGCCGGACTGTCTAATAAGCATATCGAGAAAAGGAAGCGTCCCATTGAGCTGTAATTCTATTGTGAACTCCAAATTTGGATGTAGCGTATTCACATATGATAACAGGCGATCAATCTCAACAACCTTGACCGAACGCAGGATGTCCTCTACGTACCTGCCAAAATTTTTTGCTTTAGGTCTGGACGATACTGCACCGCAACCACAATTCCAATAATTATCATCCATACCTTTGAGCTGGCGGATGGTTAAATTGGTGCATTTAAGATGAAACCATCGGTCACAGTCATCACAGCAAATAGAAAAACCTTCATCCAGGACCTCCAACATGCACGTGCCACAGGGATAGCTGTCTTTTGAACCATTGCTGTTGAAGTTATCAGGTGGTTGTCTGCTGATTCTCTCTTCGAAACTTTTCATCCAGATATTGGCAAGAATGACTGCTAAAGAAGAACCCATCGCTACCCCATCAGTTTGGATATACCATCTGCCATCACACATAAAATAAACGTCTGTAACCGCCATTCTCATGAGATCTTTAAAAGTTTCTTTATCAACAGGAGGAAGTTCCTCCGAATTATAGAGAATATCTGCTGCTAACTCGATCGACTCTAGGACAGGGACGTTGGTATAAAGGCTCTTGACGTCGAGAGAAACAATAACTTCGTCTTCCTCTAAACTCACCTCCATCAAGTCACGTTTGATATTGATAGTAGACGTCTCTATTTTGGCTTTATCAAACCATTTACTCAACTGGTTGGTAAGATTCTCGTAAGATTCTCATAACTTTCAAACCCGGGAGAGACAGAACTGGACGGAGAGGTGTTTTCTGTTTATGTACTTTCGCCAGGCCATACAGTCTCGCCGGCTGAACACCCGTAGATCTGCATTTACTGTATAAATCGGATGAGATCTTCCCCGCACGAACTAGTGACATGAGGTTTCTATTGAACGTCGACTCAATCGCAATTAAAGCATCCTTCTTTCTAGAATCATCGAAAGGCTTGAACTGTTCTCCATTCAGAACTTCTAAGAGTCGTTCGCTATAATCTCCGGCAGACATCAAACAGTAGCCAGCACCCTTATCAAAAGGGACCGCCTTCAACTTGTTCTTTTTGAGATATAAGGTAACCATTTTTACTGCGCGGTCAGGCCTCTGTCTCTTCATCTGCTTGAGATAACCAACAGTCAACGCGTTTACTTCGTTCATAGCAGCAATATTTGAGTCATCATTTTTCATTTGAGCCAGTACTTTGTCGATATCTGCCAAAAAATGCATCTCATTGAATTGGTCCAGAACAGGGTGCTTGGGACCCAATAAAAGCAGATCAATAACATACTTCGGTGGCTCCAAATCACCAATAATTTTGACAGTATTTCCCACAGATCTCAAGGGTTTTTCCTGTTCGGCAGCCAGTGCCACAAGTTTTTTGTTGTGTCTATCATGAATAGTAAGGCGTCCCCCCTACGCGAATGCCAAGCAACAGAGAGAAGTAAATAATCTGTGCATTTTTCTTTCAGAAGTTGTCGGGCGTTGCGTAACTGGTCCGATCTCATGATCATTGTCCGGTGTGCTTCCGACACCAATTGTCTTAGTTGTCTTCTTTGAAAGTTATGGACCATTGTTGCCTCAAAGCAACCATTTTCAGGAATACGAAACTTGAGGAAGCGGGGAATTAAGTCATTGCTCAGACACTTTTTCAAAAATAAAATACAATGTTGACAATTTGTCGCTTTTAACAAAGCCGCTGTGTAATCCAAATAAATCTTCCAAATCCCGTCTTGCTGTAATATCTTCTTCAAAAGTTTAAAAGGGATAACACAGATTGATATGTAGACAGTGGTAAAAACGGCAGATCAATGTAAAATAAATTCCAGAAACGTTTTCGACATAAAAGTCATCATCAGCCAATCTAAAAAACAAAGCACCTGTAAAACCGGAATGGAAATGGATGTGTAGAAATTACAAAAAATGTATAAAAACTAACATTAAAAAGAATATAAAAATAGCGTCAGTTAAGACCCGAGTTAGTCATCTGACTCAAAGATCTGAAAAATGAGAAACGTGTCTAAAAAGGCTTTAAAACTTTTTAACCAATCAAATTTGAACAACTCTAATTACATAATATAATTACGTGATCATGAAAATAAATTTCCTGTAAGTTTCTGAGATTTTTTAGTTTTTTGTTCTTTCTGTTTATAAAATTTCGATTTGCGAACATTTTTGATCCTGACATGTCAGTTTTTTAACTTTTAGCCATGTTATACATAGACTATAATTTTAGTGTTAATTCCCGGCTCCTGAATTCATCGCGTGTGTTGATCTTCGGCCTCTCCCTCCAAATATGCAAAGCCTCTAGTAGTGTCAGTAGCTTATGAGTGTTGGCTGTTTGGGATATAATCTCTGACTTCAGCTCAGCAGTACCGCCTACCTCCTTATTACATTCTAACAAGTGTTGTCCTACTGGGGAGTCCCCTTTGCGGTGTTCATCGACCCTCGTGGCTAAATGTCGGACTGTCTGACCGACATAGGTGGAGTTACATCCACTACATGTAAGCTTGTACACCACTTTGGATCTCAGTTCACGAGCAAAGGAAGTTTTGAGGGATGGCAAGCATGTTTTCATTTTTCTTGTTGTAAAAATTATTTGTGCCCCGAATATTAGCCGAACCTTTGCAGCAAACAGTTGAGATGGATCGCCTCTATATTGCATTGTAAGAAGGGGTGGTGAGTCTTTCAACCATTTATCATTTCTCGGTTCTGATGCCTTCACCTCTAAATTTTTCTTTCCCTCAATGATTTTGTTAAGAGTTTCATACACTACCCTGTCAGACCAATTTTTCGGATATTGATTTTCAATCCATTGTTTCCGATTTTTTTTTCCAATGCCTTGGTCAAAATACTCCCATGTTGAGGTACTTCTGAAAACCCTATGAACCGTCCCTTCAATAATGTTTCTTTTGTACTGCAAAGGTGCGCAGCCTCTGAAATTTACAATGGTGCCGGTATCAGTGGGTTTTTAATACCAACCACATGTGACCTTTTTTGCTGAATCCACGTTGACATTTAAGTCCAAAAAGGCCAAATTACCGTTACTATCGAGTTCTTCTATGGTGAACTGCAAGTTTGGATGCAACTTATTGGCAGCCTCGAGAACTACCCCAGGATCACCCTTGACCGTTCTAACTATGTCGTCCACATATCTTAGAAAAACTTTAACACCATTGACAGTCCGATCTGCTTCCTGTTGTTTTTTGCAAGTCATGCAATACCATACTGTTTCAGCGATGTCTGCGTACTCGGATTCCAATATGTTACCACACCCTAAGTGGTACCCATTCAAACCAGCTTCGCATTCTACTCCTTTTGTCCGATATGTCACCTTTTTCTGACATCTAGGGCACACTTCCTTGTTACCCTCACTTAGCACAGTCAATTTTGGTACTTCTTTCTTTAATGCAGGTTCGTATTCTTTCAGCCACAAATTAGCCAATATTACTGCAAGTTTACCTTACTCACTGCCAACTTCATTAGTTTTTTCATAGTCTTGCGAGATGTTTCCGGAGGGTTGACTTGCTCATATAACCTCCTCAGGGCTATTTCGTTCGCTTCCTTGAGCGGGACATTAGTGTACAAACTCTTTACATCAAGGGAGATTATACTCTCGTCAGAGTCCAACTCAGTTTTCTCCAAGATCTCCCTGGCCATTTGAGTGTTCGTTTCTATGTTTGCCCCCTCAGTTTCATAAAAGTACTTTGCCAATGTTTTATTTAGGTTGTCATATGAGCTACCAGGTAAAGAAAGGACGGGACGAAGTGGTGTGCCTTGTTTGTGTACTTTTGCTAATCCATACAGTCTAGCCGACTGCGCTCCCGTTGATCTCAACCTATTATACATCGCTTCGCTAATCTCGTCCTTTTATTTCATGGCGAGTAATTCTATGTTTATGTCTTTTTCAATTTTCATAATCACGCTGTCTGTCAGATTCTTCCTCTCATTAAATTTTTCTGCCTGTAATAAGTCTTTCAGTTTTTTCTCATATGTCTCCTTTTTCATTACACAAAAACCCACCCCCTTATCAAATGGCACTGCCAGAAGACCGTTGTCCTTCAATTACTTTTCAACACCTTTGTCAGAGGGGGTTTGTTTCACATTATTAGCATATCTGTTTGCAGCTGCTTCAATCTCACATAATTTTTCTCCGGGTATTTTATTTAACTTCAGTTCAGACAAAAACCCATCAATGTCAGCAAGGAAGTGAATTTCCTTGAATTTGTCTCGTACCGGATGTTTTGGTCCAAAATTTAAGACTTTCCGCACCCAAAGCGGCAAAATCACTTCATCTAAAATTCTAACTGCCCTTTCATCCAAGTTTTTTAATGTTCTATCCTGTCTTTGCGAAAGTTTTTCAAGCTTTCTCTTGTGTCGGCTTATCAGGTTATTGACACTACATCTTGCTTGCCGGTTCAGATAGAATATTACCGAAGGCCACCACTTCTCATCTATACCCCTTCTCACTACCTCTCTTGCTTTTACTAGGTTACCCGATGCCTTGGCCCTATCCGCACTTGCCTGGCTTAGCTCAGATCTCAAGAGTCTCAGTTGGAAGCTGTGCACCGCTTGATCTGAAAAAACACCGTTATCAGGCACGCGAAACCGTAAGAAGTCTGGTATAATGTCGTTATCGAGACATTTTCTCAGAAATTTAATTCTCAGGAAACTGCTATTAAATTTGTTAAAATGTTTTAAATAATCTAATGCAAGTTTCCAAGTGAGTTTTCTTTTCAAGCACATTCTAAGGAGTGGTGGTGGCAGCAAAATTGCGGTCATCTGTTCTTTGCAGGCCACGAGCACTTAAACTCATGTGGCACTCAGCAAAGAAAAAACAGCCACAACAAAATCTTACCCCTTATTGGTCGTTCGGTTCCGGCTGGAAGTTGCCAGCCAACACCTGCGCTCTCCGCGCCTTTGCCATGCGGCGTCCCTGCGATGGTTTCTTGGTCTGGGCCCGTATCCTTGAGAAAATGCCTGGCAGGTGGTCTCGATGGGACAGCACCACCCGTAGTGACTTCAACTCCAATTCACTTGACTGGTGCAGTTGAAGATACTCTCTGAGGACCGCAGGATTCTGTCTCTTCCTTCTAGAGATAAGGCTACCAGTTGTTTTTATGACGATTATCTCTGTCTTCCGCAGATCCTCAAAAATATCGGGAGTGCCCGTTCTCCTGCAGTAGACAATGCCACTAATTTGTCTTCGCTTTGATTGTAAATACGCCAGTAGTTCATCAAGTGGGCAGGGCGTATAGTTGTTCGTGCGATGTGAGGATATGCTGTTGTTCAGCACGTCGTGCCAGATAATAATCTGCTTACTGGCCAGAGGTTGCAGTTCCAATAAAACTCGTAAATCCTTCCCCATGTTCAAGGTATTGGGGTTCAAAGAAAGGCCGGGGACTGCGTAGACCTTCTGCTGCGCGTCTCTCCGTTCCTCTTGCTCAAGATCTATCAGGCTGTGATAAAGGGAGCTGGCAGCTACAATCATAGCCATTTTAACTCAAACACTACTGATATTATGAACAAAAAATGATAATAAAATTATGTTCAAAAAGAGAAATTTTTTTTTCGAACTAATGACTGTTTTCCTTAAAGGAATATAACAGTTTGCTTATAGCTTATCGCTAAAAAGGGTTAGAATTTAACAAAAATGGTTATAAGAAATTTAAAATTTTATTTCAAACGTTTTCGCACATTCTGTGCATCATCAGGATTAAAGTATTTTTAACAATATTTACAAAACGATCAAAGATCTGAAAAATGAAAAACGTGTCTAAAAAGGCTCTAAAATGTTTTAACTAATCAATTTTGAACAACTGTAATTACATAATTTAATTACGTAATCTAGAATAACATTTTCCTGTAAATTTCTGAGATTTTTTATTTTTTTGTTCTTTCTGTTTATAAAATTTCGATTTGGGAACATTTTTGATTCTGACATGTCAGTTTTATAACTTTTAGCCATGTTATACATAGACTATAATTTTAGTGTACTCTGTCTATTTCGAAGTATTCAAAGCAAAATTTCGAAAGTCAAACTATTCAAAGTTGAACAGATTTTAAAAACCAAAAACTAGAATTGAGTATTTGAAAATCACCAAATCTCGTTTATAGCAGAAAAACGTCAATTGGTGGTGTGTCACGGCATCATCAATAATTCTATCAACAGCCACCGCATAAACAATTACAGATCTTAAACTGCAGAGGAAATGACAGAAATTTTGAAGACACTGACAAATATCAGCGCAATTGTATACTGTCAGAGAAACGGTACACCAGATTTCAGGAACCAGCTGATCAGCTCGGGTTTTCTTGTCTTTCCTATTACGAGGTGACTCATTTCAAAGATGAAGAGAAGAACGGAGCTGATGAACGAATATCAGGTACTGAACCAGGACGTCCAGCTAGAGCTAGCGTCATTGCGGTTTGTGGTCGAACACTGAGGCAACCTCCAGCTGTACGGTCGAAGTTTCGTTCAAACACGAAAAAGAAATCGCAAACAAGAAGGAGGTGCAGAAAAGATGGACAGAGGCGAAAAAACTGTTGGGCCAACTGACGAGGTGGCTTCAACGGAGAGGGTCAGTTAAAATTGTGTTATTTAAGTTGCTTTGTTTGACGTGACGTTTATTCCTCGTGGACTACAAAACAATGAGCACTGTCGTACTCCCACCTCCAATCTTTATTTGGTTTTTAAAAAAGAAACTAATTTGGAAAATAGTCCGTGATTATAAGTCGTCTAGAAATTCGTCTACAAAACGACATTATACCTAATTTTTTGATGTTCAGGGTACTTCAGCCTTCGGTAATGAAATACTTAAGTCTCAGGGGACAAAGACAAACAACAACAGTCAAAGAGACCCATCAGAAGAAGCTGATGAAACTAACAGAAAGGCAAGACCGACCAACTCTAGGGAAGCAAAGTGAGGGTTCAGTAAAAGCTCTTGATGATATTGAATAACCATATTGGGTGCAACAAGTGTTGGCGTTAGGGCCGAAACATCCCGTCAGGGATAAATTTAATGAAACACACTTTCTTGCTGATAATGACATCTTTCGATCGGATCTCAAAAATCGTAAAGTCCCTGGGGAGGCCCTTTGTGAGATCGAAGCTGTGGCAAAAGTCTATGCTAAAAGGGTGGAACAAGGGTGGACAAGGGCGTTAAGAAGACCCGAAAATATCTGAAGAGTATTGGATTAGCTGCGGTACCATATGACAAGGGCGTGGGTTTTTGTGTAGTGAGGAAGGACACCTATGAGAACAAGTTGTTTGATACATTAGATTCAAATCAATTCGGCGAGAGTAAAGGAACATGTAATGCGATTATTTTGAAGATAGAAAGAAACATCAATAAGGAAGTGTTTGCTATGAAAAAAAGACGAAATAAGTGAGAAGCTCTACAAAAGGATAAGGTCTACTGGGGCAGCGCGCCGGGTTTTATGGGTTGGCGAAGGTGCATTAAAAAAATAACCCATTAAGACCGGTCCTCTCCTTGCGTGGTAGCTTTTCTTATAACTTGAACAAGGTTTTTTTCGATAAAACTGAGGGCGCAAACATCAAAACTAACTCACTAGAAGCGAGAGAAATCTTAGAGAGCATTAATCTTGAGTCCAATGAAAACTTGATATCTCCTGATGTGAAGTATCTGTATACAAATGTTCCACTTAAAGAAGCAACACACATTGCTCTGAGTAAACTGTATGAGTAAGATGAACCACCATCAATTGCTAGGAAAACCATGAAGAGAGTGTTGAACATGGCAGTTAGTCAAGTCCATTTCAAGTGCAAGGCAACATGGTACGTTCAATAAGATGGTTTGGCCATGGGGGTATCTCTTGCCGTTCTTTTAGCAAATTTTTGGCTGAAGCAGTACAAAACTGCACTATTGAGGGATATTTTCGAAATGTTTTTGCCGAAAAAGATCTTAGCAAAATATGCCCCGAGTGCAATAAGAATGTCACATGTCACGTACAGGTCAAAAATTGAAGAATGTGAACACTGTTTGAACTGATATCATGTAAAATGCGGTGATATATCAGATGATGATGATCGAAATATAAGTGAAACCGTTTGGTACTATAGAAAATGCATCGCGATCAGCGAGGAAATTAAGTCAGTGCAGCAAGCTAATTCAATTCTCCGTTACGTTGACGAACAGTGAAGGCTGATCCTGAAAAGATGCTACGGGCTTGAAACTTACTACATTCAAACTTACAGTTCACAATGGAGACACCAAACACAAACGGGAAATTGGCACTTTTGGATTTAAAAATTAGTGTTGACAAAAGCAGGAAAAGTAGGATGCAACTTATTGGCAGCCTCGAGAACTACCCCAGGATCACCCTTGACCGTTCTAACTATGTCGTCCACATATCTTAAAAAAACTTTAACACCATTGACAGTCCGATCTGCTTCCTGTTGTTTTTTGCAAGTCATGCAATACCATACTGTTTCAGCGATGTCTGCGTACTCGGATTCCAATATGTTACCACACCCTAAGTGGTACCCATTCAAACCAGCTTCGCATTCTACTCCTTTTGTCCGATATGTCACCTTTTTCTGACATCTAGGGCACACTTCCTTGTTACCCTCACTTAGCACAGTCAATTTTGGTACTTCTTTCATTAATGCAGGTTCGTATTCTTTGAGCCACAAATTA